CACGGCTTCCAGTATTGCTCACTACTTGCAACATGATTAAAAAAAGTAAAAAAACTGTGGGGTAAATGTAAGTTTTTTTGCTGTTAAGATTTATTTTTGTGGCTATGGTGTAATTTCTTGATAGGATTCTATGTGCTTTAGTGGCTCTGGGTATCCTTAGATTAAACAAACAAAAAAAAAAGCTTAAGACTCCTTTGGGTCAAGTTCAGCTGGTAGCTTTCTTCAAACAATATGGGAGAGGCTTGCTACTCCCTTCTTTCTGCATATTTTTTTTATTTCTGAATCTAGTCTGCAACTCTAGGATTTCCTGGTGATCTCATCTATGTGCTAACTAGGTCCCAACTTGTTTAGTTTGTTGAGATCAGCCAAGCTTCATTAAGTGCTACTAGACAATTTATATATTTTATGTAAAAAAAAGGTCCCACAAAGGCCTTGTTAAGATGGTTGTCCTGTGTTACGTCCCTGAGTGCAGAGGCAAATGTTTCGGAGAATAGGTAGCAAATAGCTGGCCTCACATGTTTTTTGAGCTATGGTTTGTATAACAATAGTTTATTAAATCACAGTCAGCTGGCTGTTCATAACACATTAAAACCAAACCAAACAAATCATATTTTGGCTTCAGCAGTATGTGAACCCAGACAGTTTGTCTTTATGAATGACAGCAGTACTGTTTTTGGTCTTATTATATCTAGCATTCAACTACATTTAGTAGAAACAGGAGAACCTCCTGCTTTCTGGTCTGCATTATTGAATTTATAAACTGCTACCAAACTAAATGGCATTTCTTCTGACAAGCCAAACAACAAGATGTCAAGAAACAGAATTAGGTCACTGTGTAAAAATTGGGGTTAACCCCTTCCCCACCAAAATCTGAAACACTACATCATATGGGTTTAATGTTGGCCTACCCCACAGAGCTTTCTAGAAGGACTGATAAAACATTACTTATGAAATGTACTTACATATATAAATGCCACGAGTGGGTATCCTATTAGACACCTATTTTGTTTAGCTTTAAAAAGATTCCTGCCAGGCCAAATATAAACCATAGCACAACTTGCATTCTGAAAAATGATATTTCCTTCCATTTGAAAGATACGATGATTCTATGCAGGGCAGAACTAAAGCAGCATTTTATAGTAGTTTAGATTCAGCCACCAGTTTTTTTCTTACGTGGTTAAAGAACAGGTTTTCCCTGTTAATTTCTTATTTGGACTGTACCTTCCACTTTGTGTCACTGATTAGAGCACAAAAGATTGTTTTGATCAAATTCCAGCTGCATACAGCAAATGTTCATAAACAGAAGGAAGTGAAGCAATCTTGGTTTCAGGCAGTAGATAAAAACTGAAGTGACTTAATATATACTATTTTGTTGATAGTTTATTTCTGATAATGAATTTAAACATCTGAAATCGGCATTACTACCATTTATCTGCAACTTCACCTTTTCTCAGTAGGATATAATCTTTTCTGTGTTTTGCAAGGTATGCAGAGTTTTGTGCTGGCTTTGTGTTTTGCCTTGAAGCAATCCAAACCCATCCCCAGTGAACTGATGAAGCTGGTTATGCCATTTCAGATCAGTGTGCAACAGGGTTTGGCTAGCTTGGTGAGCTTTGGTTCATGGCAGTGGCTGCATTCACACACGTTGCTAAGTGAAGAGACTTTAACTGTGGCTTGCTGAACAAGCCATAGTATCTTAGTTCACAGGCAATGCTAAACAGTGAGTTCATGCATCACACTAACCCAAAAATAAAATCCAACCACTGTGATAGTTTTGTTGCTTTTTGGAAAACCCCTTGATTATATCTGAAGGTCAAATTAGAAAACCAGATCATATGGATAAGGGTATGTGTGTGCCGGAATATAGGGAGACTACAAACTGGATAAAACTATGAGTTTTCATTTTGACTTCATGAAATATATGCCCCTTTTTCAGATTGGGTAGTCAATGGATCAATAGTTTCGTAAGTTACACACACACACACACACGCACACACATTTCTGTAACATTTTAATATCCAACTTCTAAAATAGTAAGGTCATTTTGTCTCTTATAAAGATGAGCTAGACTAGTATGGCATAGGGCATGTCTTAAAACATGTAAGTTATAGATAGTGGCTGAGTATTGGGTTTAGCAAATCACTTACTTGGAAGGAGCTGTTCCTTTTCCTGAGTGAGGGGGTAACTGCTTCTCTGGTTTAATTGTGGAATAATCTGAATTTCACTGGATTAAGTCAAATGGAACTTTTGGGACTCCTGAATTGGGCTCTGAGTAAAAATTGTGTAGCTGGTCATACTGGCTTGTTGTGCATTGCTAGATGAATCATCTGACCTTTCATACAGTTAATTTTCCCCTATTGCAATTACTTCCTTGATTAAATTGTAGCAATAGTTGTCTTAACTTTCACTTCTTGTCTCCCTGGTGCTTTGACACCATGTCACTATGAAATCTTTTTTGTAACAATAATTTTCAAAAACTGGTTCAGCACATTCAGGATTTAGGAAATAGCAGGCTGGACTTCTAGTTGACAGAAGCTGCTACTAACATAATTTTACTGGGCAAGTTACTTATTTTGCACTATCAATAGTTCCACAATTTATTTTCTATGATGCAGAATTTCTTTTTGCTCTTTGCTGTTGTCTTTTACCTTTGATCTGGCAAATGGTACATTAAGAAGTGAGTGGCTATATTAAATCAAATAAAGAAAGAAAGAATAAAGCATGGCATATTCCATTAACTCTGCATGCTGATGAAGGTTTGAAACTACAATCAACTTGGGTCCAGACACTAGCCTATTTAGTCCAATGTTGCCTATTCAGATTTTCAGCAGATTTTCTGAAGTTTTGGGAGGGGGAAAAAAGATTTTCCAGTATTGCAACATTTGACCCTACAATCTCTTTGCATTTTGTGGAATTACCTGTGACAAAAATCAGTAAGATGGTTTCTCATCATTTTGCTGTAGGAAACATATAACATAGCCTCTTTATTGGCCTTAGAATTTTTTTAAAAATACACGAACCACTTCCCCCCAGGACAGTTGATATTGTTCGCACGTAAAGTAGGTGCTCTTTGATAGTATTGCTGGCAACCATACAAATTTGATTAATAATAAATAAAACCAAGAAAAACATTCAATTCCAAGTTGTAATTCACACATTCCCAAAATCTCATGTCATTAATTTTGTCTCCCCCCAAAATCAGTACATGCTAAAAAGAATATGAAGTAAAATTAGAATGTCCCCTTTGTCTCTTAGCTGTTCCTCCTGCCAAAAGAGAGGTATGTGCATCTACTGGTAAAGTAAACTGCAGAGGTGCAAGTAGAAAAACTCCCTATATTTCAAAAGTCACATTTCTATATTCAAAGAATGTGTCAGTGGGGTACAGGAACTGAGGGCCAAAATATAATCGCTGGTGATATCAGCCTCATTCCAAAACTGCTTGTTGCTGTTGTACAAAGGAATCATGTCTATTTATGGCTTGAAAGTTTTGTTGAGATTGGTTTGAATTTATTTGTGTTATACCAATTATGAGTGATGGGGTCCAATAAATTTTATCTGCAAAGTTATGAGACTTAGTTAAATATCCCTTTCTTGCATTTGGAGTTGTCCTTAAACTTCCTGATCATTGGCCACTCTTGGTGGGGTGCCAGGAACAGACATGGTATTGCCATTCAGTCAGTACCAGGGAACCTAAGGAAGCAACTATTGGTCTATCATTGCCATATTGGTTGTCAGCTATTCTTCATAGGCAATGTTTGGGCAATGATCCAGTGACACAACTCTACTAAAACTCTGATTAAAGGGACAGCAGTAACTGGAATGGGAAGGGAAGGCAGGTAAACCTGTGTGCAGTAACTGAGATCATCCTTGCTTTCTTTGTCTAAGAAGAGAGAGGAACTCTAAAATCTTATGTGATTTGTGAGGTAGACAACTGGACTATATTTTTAAAGATATCATTACATATGTATAGCACTCTTATAAAAAGTTAGCAATGCTTTTATAGTATTGTTTTAAGGCGGGCTAGTATATTATTTCGAATTTGTTCAAATTTGTAGAAGCTGAAGCCAAGCTAATGAATTCATAGGTCTGGGGAGACTTGAACAAGGGATTTGTAGCTCAAACTCTAATCCTTTCCATTATAAACATGTGAGCACATCAGCTCCACACTTATTTATGAGATTCATATCCTGCCTTTCTTCTAGAATATAGCATTTGGATACCAACCAGACATTGGTCTCCTATATATTTGGAAAAGACATTTTGGAGCATATGGGAGTATGAATGTTGTACCTGTATACAACTCTTTAAAACAGCCTTGTCTTTTCTCAGGATAGTGCAGCTGCTTTCAGTATTGTATTTTTATTTTTCCTCTGATCTGCTTTCAGTGGGTAGGTTTTACTTAAAGAAAAAAATGGCTGAACTTATTCCACTTTCCTTTTACTGAAGGATGTTCTTGTATTGGTTGTCAAAGTGTTTATTATAGCAGAAAGGATTAACTGTTTAAGTAGACAAAGATGTACAGATTGGTCCTTAGAAACCTTATAAAAGATATCAACAATGTCACATGACGTGACTTTAGGAGGCATGAGTTTTGATTGTTGTGTTTTGGAGTTTAAAATCCAATACATTTTAACTGAACAAAACAAATTCCCCCATCTAGAAAACTAGAAGTTTAGAGAGGTGATCCATTGCAGCTTACTCCAGACGTGGCCTCAGCACAAGCAAACAGCCCAGCTTTAGAACCTATAAATTGAACTTGTCCAGTTAATAAGGAGGTGCAGCACTTCTGCTCTTAATGAGATTGAGCCATTTTGTCATGCTATGAAACAAGATAGTTTATGAGAATCACCTCTGTAGAAGGGAGAATTTGTCTCTTAAATCGCAAGAAAAATTATGCTGTGCTTTGGTTGTCTCTTTTTCCTGCTTTCTAAGGTCTTCTTTCAAGCCAAGAAAACTGGCTTCTTTATCCTGTTGACTGACTTTTTAAAAAAAATTCACAGCTATCATGTGGGCGGCGTGTTGCAACTGGTTTTGCCTGAATGGACAGCCTGAGGATATGCAACATTGCCCGCAGCCAGGAACTCGAGCATACTCCAATGCTGGCTACAGCTCCTTCCCGTCTCCTACCGCTTCCGAGCAGAGTTGCAAAGCCTGTGGGGTGCATTTCAGCAGCTCCTTCCTTAAGGTGAGTGATAAGATTCTTTGGGACTTGTTATTGTTATTGGAAGAGGCCTTCATTTTAGCCTTATTTTAGTATATGCAACATTTAGTGCCAGTGCAGGATGATTTAAAGCCCCTACATCATATGCTGAAACAGATCAAGCTGCAGTGTAGAAAAGTTGGAGGCTTCTTTTTAAACAAAAGTTTGAGATCAATATTAAATCAGAGATTTGCAACTCCCAAATTTTAATCTGAGCTGGTCATGCTGGTTGGGGCTGATGGGAGTAGGCATTCACAGGTGGAGAGGACCCAATTCCTACTTTTGCTTGTAATGTTTGGTATGTGTAGCTTCATTGAAGTTAAGAGCATAGAATCCTGTAGTTGAAAAGTACTGCAGAGAACATCTAGTCCAAGCCTTTGCTCAATGCAAGATCTGCCAAAATATTTTGGGCAGATGGCTATCTAGCATCTGTTTGAAGGCTTCCAATGAGAGGAAGCATAAACTACCACACACCCCGTTCCACTGGTTGACCGCTCTCACTGTCAGGAAATTATTCCCAATATCTAATTGAATCTGCTTCATGCAGTTTCAGCCCATTGGTTCTAGTCCTGCTCTCTGGGATAATAAAGAATGATGGCTCAACAGCTATGATGGTACAAGAAAAGTAGGTGATGACTCGTATGAGAACTACTCTAGAATCCCCCTCTTCCCCAGGATAGGTCCATTTTGATACATAAAGAGATCAAAGAACTACAGTTTGAGATAGAGGAGGGGCTTGTAGCTGTGAGAATTGGGTAATTGCTTCCTTCCCTAAAGCAGGGACATACAACCTTTTTCTGGCCAATAACCATACTTGGCCAGTGAGTGGTGTAGACAGGCTAGAATGAAAACTAAATTTGATTTAACTTAATTTATATTGAACACTAAATTAAACGTTGTCAATAGTTTGATTGACTGATCGATTATGTGCCATCCAGTCATTTTCAGCTCCTAGCGACCACATAGATAGATCTTCTCCCTGATGATTTATCCCTAACCTCTTCTTTCAAGTCTCCCAATGATGCACTCATTGCCACTGTAACTGATCCATCCATCTTGCTGCTGGTCATCCTCTTCTTCTCTTTCCTTCCACCTTTCATATGTTTAATACATTTCCCTCCTGGCACAGTAAAAATTACAACTGGTACCAACTTTTGAAGAGGCTGTGAGGCCTGATATGCAGGCCTGAGTCCCAAGGTTAGGCTCTCTGTTAGTATGACAGCGCTCATAAGGCCGAAAGAGAAAGTGTGGGTTAAGAGAAAGCTCCTTATACACACTAATCTGTTTACCTTGGAATTCTAATCTATCTTCATAGATCCTTCTTTTACCCTGCTCTAGGAAAAATTAAAACAAAACAAAAAGAAGGTGCTCTAGATAAACTGCTCATATATATAGAATAGGTTTCAAATGCATGTGAAATGCCCCAACTCAAAAAATAGCTTAGTCATACAGTTCTAAAAATGGGAAAGGTTTTAGAGGGAATTACTTTTAAAATAATGTTGTCAAGTATCCAGCTAAAAAAATAAAAAGAAACAAAACCAGGGAAGGCAGTTATTACACACTGGATTCCAAATAAACTCCAGTACTTTCAAGCTGATCTTGCAGGTTTATTTTTTCTCTACTTGAAAACAATGTTGAATTTCAGAATATCTGCAGAATGCTGTGTAGTAAGAAGGATCAGAGAGAGGGAGTGCATGATTGGATTAGTTGTTTCATATAACGACTGGTGTCTAGGAAAACATTCCCCTAATTGGGATGAACTGTTTTGCCTGCTGTCAGTGGTATAGCCAACCAGTTGAGACTTTAAACCACTCTTCCCCACTTCAGCACCCTCTGGATTTACTGGGACTGCAATTCCCAGAATTTCTCCGGCCTTTCTTCAAGCATACTTGGAGTTGCAGTCCTGATTTCTCTGAAGGGTGCAAGGTTGGGAAGACTGATCTGCAGGTTACATTTAACTAAATCAATTTTATCCGTGTTGAAAGAGTTGCAGATTTCAGTTGAAGCAAAAGTAAGATGTGATATATTAATGAATTTCCTGTGATACCGCAGGAATGGGCAGGCAGCTGCTATCCTGAAGTTTTAGATTACAGCTTTCATCTTACTTTATCTCTGGCGAAACTGGCAGTGTTGATAAGAGTTGAAATACAAACAACCTAGAGGGTTCTTAGGTTGCCTACTCCCTCTTGATGGGTCATTGTTAATCTTTATCACAATAGAGGCGGCTGTCACAGAAAATAAGTACAGCTATTTCAAAATACAAACAAGACGTATTGCGATCTTACTCCAAAAGGAACCAAACCCAGATAAAATCTGCAAATCTTGACATTCTTCCTAGTTATGCACCCACACCTCACTTCTCCAAGCTATAATGAACATTTTGTCATAACTTCTGGTCCCTAGTAATAACTGAGCTACAGCTGAGACAAACTAATGATGTGTCTGAGAAGAGAAGAAGGGTCCTCTATTGCTGTTGTGAGGTATAGTCTACAGCAGTGGTTCTCAAACATTTTGGTCTCAGGAACCTTTTACATTCTTAAAAATGATTGAGGACCCCAAAGAGCTTTGCTTTATGTGGGTTATATCTATCAATATGTACTGTTTTAGAAATTAAAACTGGGAAACGTTAAAATATTTATTTGACTTCACAGACCCCTGAAGGGTCTCGGGAACCCCCAGGTGTCCCCAGGCCACACTTTGAGAACCACTGGTCTACAGCACTGTTTCTCAATCGTGGCAACTTTAAGATGCATGGCTGGGGAGTTCTGGGATTTGAAGTCTTGAAGCTGCCAAGGTTGAGAAATGCTGGTCTACAGGATGAATTACAAGCTCAGCTGACAGTTTATCCTCACCTCTGAGGGCTTTCGTAGCAAAAAGATCAGAGCAACTTATGCTCTGTTGATGAAATTTGTCTCCCACTTTGCCAACTTATGGGCAGACAGCCCCTTTCTCTGAAAAATCTAGACTAGTCTGGAGCCCAAATGGTGGTGGGAGATTGCTCTGAATGGATGAAAGAATTGTGCTGCAGTTCCATCCCCTTAGTAAGTATAATCACTGAGACTGTCCATAAAAATACATCCAGAAGTTGAACAATAGAATAACCTCCATCACCTATTTATTGCCTTGCTATTCCTTAAGGCAGAGGCAGAAGTTGGATTTTCTAGCTATTCTTGTCCTGTGTACTTAATTCTTGTGCACCTGACCTCTCCAGAACCACCAGGGTCCTGTGAAACAGGACATAATCAGCATACTTCTCCCAAGAAATATTTATTTCAGTAAGGAGTTTCCCAAAGTGTTTTTCCCCCTCCTCTGGGAAGTCCTTCCAAGAAATGGCAGGAATCCAAGCTTTTAGTTTCTCAGCAAGTATCTGATCTGCTGCATGTTCTCAGACAAAATATGGTGAGCAAGAGGGGGAGGGGGATGTCTGAATGGGCATGTGGCCTTTAGAATAGACAAGAGTGTGTCCTTTTGCATCCCCCCCCCAAAAGAATTGGGACTGACTTCAGCAACTGATAGCATTGGGCAACTGCCAGGACGACCAGTCATGGTACCTTGTTGCAGCCTCTTGTTGGTTTCTTGGATTTATGGTCTGCCATTTGTTCAGGAGCTCAAGGCTGTGCATGTAGCATTCTTTTCCCCATTTTCCTCACCACAATCCTGGGAAGTAGATTGGGTTGAGAGGGAGCAATTGCCTCATGGTGGACTGGAACAATTCTGAAGCAGTTAAAGAAACTTGCAACAAACAAGACTGAATTATATGTGTAGTTTGCAACTGACTCTCTTTCCTTATATTAAATGTGTAAAGCCAAAATCTGAACTCTAATCTTCCCTCTCAGCAGCTTGCTTTTCAAAATTTGCTTCAATATGCAGGGGTTAAAAGAAGAGATAATCTTTCTCTGTTGACAACGAGTTTTTAATTTTTAAAAGCTTCCCTGGGGGAGAGGTTTTAAATCTTCACTGCATTTAATTCAGGACCCACGTGTTTACTCTAAGGAGTGCCTACTCTAAGCTCTAAGTTTTAATAAGTTTAAAGCAGTGTTTTTCAAACTTGGCAACTTTATGCTGGCAGGAGAATTCTGGGAGTTGAAATCCATACATCTTAAAGCCTTAAAGCCATTGCTTTAAGCCCTAAAATGTGGTTTATTTCAGGTTAGCTTGGTGTGATATAAAATTGTATAAGGCATGCCATCAGTCATTAGTTGTGGCATAGTTATAATTTCATATATTATGGATTGGCAGGAGGTAAGAACTAAGTCTGTGTATTTCCTGCATCATGGGGTTTAATCTTTAGTTAGCAGATCATAAGTTTCAGTTGATCTATTTTAATTCTGTAAAAGTTTTCATACGTGAAAGATATGAAAGGAGAGAGGTATAACTCCTTTCTGATTTTAGAGAAGTCAAGGATGTGTTGCAAACCTCGCTCTAGAGGAGGTGTTTCCCGTTTGTTTATCTGTCACTTGCCATTTTTATTGATGATTCTGCGTAGCAGGCCTGGTACATTATGGTAGCAGATGCCAGAAGGAAATTGTTCACTCTGATGACAGGATTTATTTCTATTTATCAGCTCTAACTTCTTCATATGGGATGATAACAAGGATTGGTATGGCTGTGAACGTTATTTAATGAGATTAAGTTAGTTTTGACTCCTCTGGAGCATAGACGATGTGTGATATGAGTCTTATCTGAACTGACAAGGAACATTAATTTCTCATTTGCATGAGAAGAGGTTCAGACAGAAAGGATTTGCTTTGCTTGTTCTTTAGTCAAAGCAGTGAACCCAGATGGGTTGCTTAGGGAGACTTGTGAAACATGTGGGACAACACTTCCTTTTGTTAATTTCCCATGTTCTTAAGACATAAATTGGGAAACATTTGACCCAAAGTGACCAGAATTTTCTGGGATAGAAAGGACATAATTACCACAAGTTTTTCAGGCTGTGTTTGTTTTGGAAGCACTTTTACTGAAAAGGCTTTTATGGATATAGAGGAACAGCACTCTCTGATTGCTTCGTGCCAGTGAGGAATCAAGTGCTTAATGCAGAAAGTCTGCCACAATCTACATTTTGTTTCAGGAAAACTGTACCCACAAAAGCTCTCTGGCACTGCCCTGCGCTAGAACTAAAGCCCACACTTTGGCAGCTGAAAAATCTGCAAGTATTCAAGTTTGACAAAGAGTTCTGGCCTGCATGAAACTTTTGCATGTTAATTATGCCCGTGACCACCATTGAATCTGTTTATGTTAGGCACTGAGTGGACGGTTGCGATAGGCATCTACACTGTACATTATGTGAGGTAGAGGATGGGTCAATAGTGGAATAAGCACCGGAGGGAGGAGTTGGATGGAAGGCAGGCAGCAAGATATCAGAGAGGGAGAGACTGGAGAGAGCTTGTGCAAAATAGCAGGTAGCTTGTGCATAATAAATGTAATGGGTTATAATTTAAATAAATAAATATAACATAAATAAGGGAGGACATGTGATATTGTCAAGCTCCCAAAGTATTCTTGAGAAGAAAAATGAGCATATTGGCAACTTAAAAGAAGCAAGGACACTTTTCTCTTATGGACGCTGCAAGTTCGTTGGCTGTTATAAAAAAAAAGAAAGATAATGGAATCCCACACATTAACTGAATTCGTTGCAAGTTTGTTGGCTGTTACAAAAATAAACAGATAATGGAATCCCACACATTAACTGAATTCCAACCCATATATAGTGATAAATACGTCTCAGTAAATAGCAGCCCGCCAGTTTAGTTTTCTCAATGTAAGTGTTCCATTGCTCTTTCTGTCTTGTCACAGGTCTTCTCTCCATTGCCCTGCCATCCTGACCCATGTCTCACCCTTTTGCTGTTTCTCTGTATTCTCTCTCCTCATTCCACTGCTTGTCCTTCAAGTTATAACCAGTAGAGGTTTGGAGCTACAGTTTAAGCAGAGTTTAGTCCATTGTTTTCTTTCATTGTACACTTCTGCGGTTGGTTCTAATGACTTTTTATTTATGCAATTTCTATAGCCGCCCATCTCAATCTAAGTGACTAATGATTGTGTTCACTTCTGAGATGCTAGCATTTGATAAAGTTGTATTTTCAGATAGCAGCAGCAACTGGTGCTTTACCACCCAACAGAGTAGCTAGACTGGAAAATTGAGCAGGCATCCCAGTGTAGCACCCTTCTTGCTTCACAGAAACTGGTGCTGTGAAACTGGCTTCTCATGACTTAAATCATTGCCAAACCAGAATGTGGGAATCTGTTGTTCTCTGGGGATTGATGGGAAGATGGTTAGCCTGCCTGCATGTTTCTGATGATTGACAAGCCACATGTTCTCATTATTCACGAGCAGTGTCATGAGCTTTTGAGAAAATGCAAAAATGTAATCTCCTCTATGGTTTCTCTGCCTCTGATGTTTTCCTGTGACATTCTTCTCCCTTTTCCCCCTTCTGAGCAGCATGTCTGCTTGGACTGCAAAAAGAACTTCTGCCCTTCCTGTTCACACCAGCCTGAGAGTGGCCCCTGCCTCTGCCACCTCTGCGAGCGATTCCGAGCTACAGCCTTTCAACGGGAAGAACTCATCAAAATGAAAGTGAAGGACTTGCGAGATTATCTGGAACTCCGGGAGATCTCCACGGAGATGTGCCGTGAGAAAGATGAGCTGGTGTGCTTGATCATCGGTCAGCAGCCCTTGAATCCCCAAAGAGTACCCCCAGTTCCTCACCCAGTGTCAGTTTCTGTTACCCAGGAGGAGTGTACAACTATGCCAGCCTCACTGGATTATTCTCCAGAGCAAATTTCCAGAAACTCTGCCTTGCAGACTGAGGAGCATCCACAGGTATAAATGCCTTTGCCACCCTCGTCCAGGTACCTGTGTACTCAATTAGATGCCTTGGCGCAAAGTCCTGTTGGCTGCTGCTGTCCAGTGTGAAGATGTAGCTGGAGTGTAGAATTTTTAAAAAAGGAGGCCTTATACAATGTATTGGGGAGGAAGCTAGATAGCGGAGTATGTACTTTGTATGCAGAACCTCCCAAGTTCAGCCTCCTGGCATCTTTAGTCAAAAGAAGGGTAATCTCAGAGAGGCATTTGCTGTAAACCTGGAATACTTTAGACAGCTTTCTAAATTTTGAAATGCTCTTAAAATCGGATGGGTCAGGGTCTCCAACTCAGCCAAGTTGCTCTAATCCTTGTTTGTTTAGCCATCCTCTCCTCTCCTCGTAGCTGAGAGACTGGGAAAGGCTACATCTCTTGAAGTGTTTGCTTTTCAGTTTAAAAGAATTAGTAGTAGTGGTGATGTGAGAAGCCTAGCAGTTCAGTATTGGGTGGGTTCTGTCCCCTGACACCTCCAACCTCTTGTTCTTAATTACACCTCCCAAGATTTTTTGTACTTCTAGGGGAAAATAATGCAGAAATGCCCTCAATCCTGGGAGTGAAAGCTGCAAGCAGGTTTGAGGGGCATATGAAGGAACCATGTTTCTATCCAGTGTTTAGTCTTGACTGAGTATACTTATGTTTGTATAATCTGCCCCAAATTTAGAACTATAAGAATTGCCTTCCCCCTCAAAGTATCTGTCCAGTTTTTCTGGATTTATTATTATAAAGACCCATTGCCAATAGAAGGGGAGAGGCTTGCACTGAGCTCAGAGCTTCCCTACAGAAGTCTTTTAACTTCCCTTTTGTTTTTTCAAAGAGTAGATTACACAAAAGTTACCTTCACCTGTGCAGAATACAGGAAGAGAAGTGAGTTAAAGCTTTATGGTTAAAGATGCCCCCCTCCTTTTGCCAGGTTATGACAAAATCTGAGACGACAAGCTTTGACTCTACAGTGGAAATGTTTCACTTTCTGCAACTCCCCCATCCTGCCATTAGTAGTTAAAATGAGTTTCTTCTGTTCTTACCTTGCTTGACTTCATGGGAGCTTTTTTGTGGCTTGGGCACATGCATGTGACTTGATGCTTTTAGTCAGTGAATCCTAAATAGGTAGGTCCTTGTTCTCTTCAGACATTGCTGTGGGAAATGCATGGCCACCTTCCAGAGAGAGGGCATTTGTGTCATAAAAATGCCTTGCATTCTCCATGATGTCGTGTTGTGTCACAATGGAAGGCAGCAGAGCAGAGCCAGGACTTCACAGCACGGTCTCCTGCTAGTTCCCTACAACTCCATCATGACTGGCTTGGCTCTGCTTCCTTGGAGATACCACCCAAGGGCCTTCCTACTTGAGCCAAGGCAGTCCTAACAGGGCTTAGCCAACAGCAAGGTGAGGATCTCAACCTAAAGCAAGTCCCTTATCCAGTTTTGAAGTGCTGATGATGCTCTGGCTTCTCATTATTGCTTGTGCATTTTCTTGGGCTCTTGATGATCACATGAGGGAACAAGAGAAGGCCAGCTGGCCTCTCCCCATCCTCCTCCCCAAATTTTCTGAGCAATTCAGTCACATTTTTTCTTCTTAGGCAAATGGGCATGTGCTGCCGAGCCAGGACGATATGGCAGAAGTTGAGAATGCAGTGGAAACACTGACTGAGGAGGAGACACAGGTAAGGGAGTTTCATTGCCTGCTTTTCAGGGGCTGGATGTTGGAAAGGGGAAGGCTGTTTTTCTTGCATGGCTGATACAGTCTGAGTCATCCCTCTAGTGCTAACAGTGGTATCAGAAACTGAAGAAGTCTTTTATATGCTGAGAAATGCTATGGAAATAACTATGTTTTGAAATGAAAAGAAGTGCAATTCTGTAATGGGTTTGGAGCTGGAAGAGGTAGGATCAAGTCTGCTCTGACCACAGGATTCTTTTGTGTGGCCTTAAAAAAAACTCAGCTGCTTAATCCCAGTGGCAGGACAGCTATATAGCACTTACAGTGAGCCTTCCTTAGACATGATAATCCCAGCTTCTGTACTCCCCTGCATTCTTGCTCCCCACTTGCTGAATCCCAACGACGGAGCATATTCTGTGCTGCTCTGATTTCAAAATGCCAGGTCAGATGTATGTATACAGTGGGGCAAAAAAGTATTTAGTCAGCCACCAATTGTGCAAGTTCTCCCACTTAAAAAGATGAGAGAGGCCTGTAATTTTCATCCATGATTTGCAAATAAATTCTTTAAAAATCAGACAATGTGATTTTCTGGATTTTTTCCCCCATTTTGTCTCTCATAGTCCATGATTTGCAAATAAATTCTTTAAAAATCAGACAATGTGATTTTCTGGATTTTTTCCCCCATTTTGTCTCTCATAGTCCATGATTTGCAAATAAATTCTTTAAAAATCAGACAATGTGATTTTCTGGATTTTTTCCCCCATTTTGTCTCTCATAGTCCATGATTTGCAAATAAATTCTTTAAAAATCAGACAATGTGATTTTCTGGATTTTTTCCCCCATTTTGTCTCTCATAGTCCATGATTTGCAAATAAATTCTTTAAAAATCAGACAATGTGATTTTCTGGATTTTTTCCCCCATTTTGTCTCTCATAGTCCATGATTTGCAAATAAATTCTTTAAAAATCAGACAATGTGATTTTCTGGATTTTTTCCCCCATTTTGTCTCTCATAGTCCATGATTTGCAAATAAATTCTTTAAAAATCAGACAATGTGATTTTCTGGATTTTTTCCCCCATTTTGTCTCTCATAGTCCATGATTTGCAAATAAATTCTTTAAAAATCAGACAATGTGATTTTCTGGATTTTTTCCCCCATTTTGTCTCTCATAGTCCATGATTTGCAAATAAATTCTTTAAAAATCAGACAATGTGATTTTCTGGATTTTTTCCCCCATTTTGTCTCTCATAGTTGAGGTATACCTATGATGAAAATTACAGGCCTCTCTCATCTTTTTAAGTGGGAGAACTTGCACAATTGGTGGCTGACTAAATACTTTTTTGCCCCACTGTATGTATAGACAGTCCTTCGTACTTTTTTAGCCAACACTGACCCCCAAAGCAAGTCAAATTTTACTGTATGATAGAATAACAGGGGACTTTGTGTATTGATTTATTTATCAAATTTCTAGGCCACTAATTCGAAAATGACTTTGGGTGGTTTCACAAAGTTAAACAAAACAGTATTACATAAAACAGCTATACACAAAACATTAACCATCTGAGAATACACCACCCATCCTTCCAGTCCACCACCATTGCCCCCCTCAGCTTAAAGGGGCCCACCCAACCATCCTAACCAAAGGCCTAGGGAAAAAGCCAGTTCTTAAAAAAAACATATGAAGGTGGGAAAGATATGGAACATATGAATCTTCAGAGGGATGTTGTTCTAAATACAAATACAAATTTAATAATAAATAAAATAAATGGCAGGAGCAGTGGCAAAGAAGTCATGTCTCCTGGGTCTCAATAGATGACATTGCACAATCTACTGGACATGCTGACTTTGTTGGGACACCCAGGACGGGATGTCCCCATGGAAGATGTGCAAGCCCTCATTTGAGGGTATTGAGGATAATGAAGAGGGGGTGATTATAGCTTACTGCTGTAGCTTTGTTATTTTTTTCTGTTGTAGCTTCTTAATTTTTTTCCTTGTGTTTTGCTTTGCCCTTGGTTGTTTGATTTCATTCCTGTTGTGAACGTCTAATTTGTTCTATTTCAGTCCACGGATTCAGAAGATAACCTCGTTGCGGGACGGAGGGCATCCCTTTCTGACCTAACAAGCGTGAGAGATATTGATGCCCTCTCAGTGAGGCAGTTGAAGGAGATCCTGGCTCGCAACTTTGTTAACTACAAGGGCTGTTGTGAGAAATGGGAGCTGATGGAGAGGGTGACCCGCCTTTACAAAGAGAAGGACCTCCAGCAGCTGGGTATGAAATTCCTCCTCCCGTTGCCTTTTACTTGTATACATTAATGACAGTTAAGTGGGATTATTTGGACTTTAAAATTCCAGTGGGCCTATGGAGGAAGCAGTTCCTTTGGCTGACTTGCGCTCATTGATATCATTGTCTTTGGGAGAGTATTGGCACTGGAACAGATCAATAGCTGTGTTTATACAACATGCTTAACCAGGTCAAGTAATCAAGCAGGAGCATTTGTACATATGCTAGGTCTAAATCTGATAAGCTTGGTTAATATTAACCTTTGCCAGGTTTTCATGGCCTAACAACCCCTGCCCTTTTAATTTAGTTTATAGTTTAAATATAGTGGGAAGTCAGAAAAAGAATTAATTCACTGTTCAGGCAGAGCATGTGATATGAGTGCTGTCACAAATATAATAATAACAACCTGAGTTCTCCTTCTGCCAAATAACATTTTCTGCCTTTCATCCAATTACCTTAAAAAAATGGAAAGGAAGATGATGGTTACATTAATTTATCTTGCATCCTATGGCAAACTCATGCTTTTCTTTCCTATTTCAGTTTCAGATACAGATGATCAAACTGGTAAGCATGTTCTTTTTGTCTTCTCAAAGTTGTAAGCTGCAGCTATTTCAATAGAAATACTTATTCCCTTCCAGTCTTAAACTGATATAATTTGGTTGCCTTATTTGAGCCAGTAGACATGTGTATGCCTTAGTGTTTGTGCTAATACCAAAACTGTGACACACGGTGATGTCATCATGTAAATGTACTTTATGTACATCAATATTATGTACTTTTGGAATGGAAGACCATAGATGTAGTATTTAATGAAAGCTCCAGAAATTACTTTAGATACTGGCCACTTTTTCTCTGCCAATGCAGTGGTTCAAAATTATGGGACAAATGCACAGGGATCAGTATAATAAGCAGTTTAGGCAGAAGAGAAAACAAGTGCATTTGCATAATGCACCTAGCATTACTGAATTAATTCATTTTCTGAGTTCATGCTGTGCACTGAACCATAGATTAACCAAATAAGGATGGTTTTCCACAACGTAGTAAGCCTCAACAAAACCTTATTGTATGAGCTCTTGATGTAATGAATTCTGTTTTGCTAGAGATCTTCAAACAGAGGCTGAAGGATCATCTGTCAGGAATGCAGAGGCGGATCTTATACTAGGCAGAAGTTTGAACTAGATGACTTCTGTTGTACCTCCCAACTCCATGATTTTATGAATCTTATCAAGATTAACCCTAATGGAGCTTAGCATGTTGTGTGAGTTCATCTACTATACACATGGTTAAACATGTCGTATATACTCAGCCCATATGCTGCTCAGAGTTTCCTGAGTATATGGCCTATGGCCAAGAATTGTGCCCTAGTCTTGAAACTGTTGCAGAATGTGGAGATAGCTACAAGCATGAGTTTTTTTTTAAAAAAAGAAATACATGAAAAAGGAGAGGCATTGCGTATCTCTCTTATACACACACACACACACACACACACACGCACTCTCACTTTGTCCAAAGGGGAAAAGACATGCTGAGGAGCAAGAGTGTGCCTAGAAGATATGGAAAATAAAGGAAGCAGACAGAAACTTCTGAGTTGGTAGCATGCAATTTTTCTTCCTCCTAAAGCAATAAAGAGACAGAGCAGTGGCATCATGTAAGGGGGTACACTTTATTACCTTGTTTTTGATGTTTTAAGTGTATTAAACCCAGTCACTCCTTATTTCGTTTGCTTCCTGCCAGAAATTGTGTCTCCCATGCTCAAAAATCTTCTCTTGTTGTTCTAGCTCCATCTGGTAATGCCACACTCCCTGGCTCTGAAGAAAATCTCTGCAAGATCTGTATGGACTCCATCATTGACTGTGTCCTATTGGAGTGTGGCCACATGGTGACTTGCACAAAGTGTGGGAAACGCATGAATGAGTGTCCCATTTGCCGGCAATATGTGATAAGAGCCGTCCACGTTTTCAGGACTTAAGGGCACAGGAAGCAGGACTAATATTGTCTTAGATTCTTCCACTGTGACAGAAAGCGCCAGTCCCAGCTACCCAGTCCCCATTCTTAAGAAGCCCACAGATGATAGGTGAGATGAAGGATGGAGGGCTGCGAAGACTTGAGCTGTGATTGGCTGCATACCCCGTCTAATACTGTGCATTATACCACAGTGCCTGGAGAGCTGGACGTCCTCAGTAGATCTAGAAAGCAACATGCCTTTCCTTTCTTTGTCTGCTTTTGACAGGGCATAAAGAAACTCTTGATGTTTCCAAGACATTGAGGCTCTTCCCCTCTGGAGTGAATAAACAAGGTGATCTAAAGAGGAAGAGAGATTTGCTCCTCTCAATTCTCCTTTCTCTTTGTCTAAAACCTTGAAGGGGAGGGTATGTATTCCTTTTTTAGGATATGTAATTTTTTAAACTTTGGTTTATTAGGTAGCCTTGCAGGTCAGGCTGAAAGTTGCCTCTTCCATTGCCTTGGATTCTTATACAGAGTAAATCTGTATCCTACCACAGTGGCCATGGTGACATATCTATGTATGAATGGGGCTGTGGGTGAGGACAGGACTTACAAAGATGGAGATTAAATTTTGCTAGGTTTGTAGTGAATGGGTATCTCAGGGATACTTTTTTTTTTATAATTCTGTCACGATCAAAATGTGGTGGCCTTTAAGGAGATTAAGTTGCATTATAATTGATTTGTCTTGTGTTATCATTGGGGAAAACCCCTATATTTGTATTGGATCTTGCTCATGGAATTTGCATTGGGGACAATAAGGAAGAACCAGTCCCATTTTTAAAGGCCATTGTCTGATCATAAACTACATTAGGGCCTATCCTTGGCAAAGGATCCTCTTCATTTCATTCTTTTGTTCTATGTTGGTATTCATTACCTTTCTGATATGGTATCTCATACTGAGATGAACAGATGTCCAGATGCTTTCTTCAGGAGTCCAACTACTTGATTTTTTAAAGTATATATATTTTGCCTTTGAATGCCAAGTGTTGGCTTTTCATTTGCTTCTGTTCTAAAAAAAAAAAAAAAAAAAACTTCTATCCTTTCATAATTCAGTGAAGCACTGGTAGAAATTGGATGCACGAGGTTAGAGATGGGACTTTTCACTCGTAAGGTGGAGGGGCTTCTGCCATGTTCTGCTGAGACCATTTTTGAGTGACTATGCAAATGTGTTCAGCTGTCAGACTACAGTTCATGAATTCCCATGAACCTTGGCCTGAATCCTACTTTTACAAGTGATGGAGAGGACTGTTTTAGGAAGAACCATGGAGAAAGCTCATCAGTAATTGTTAAAAATGGCTTGGAAAAAATCCAGGAGAACTACTTAGTTGTTTACATACTACCTTCTTCCAAGGGTATTTCAGAAAGGCTGTTTTTCTCTCCATGTTGTATAAAAGCCTTAAGAAATATGACACTTTTATATCAGCTGCTTCCTTCACTGTTGTGTCTTAATTCCCAGTCAACCCAAGTGCTTTCTCAAATTCTGGCTGTTTCCCAAATTGTTAAATGCCTTGCAGGTTGAAGATGCCTTAATTTGCCTTAAACCCACAGTACACAATCTGGTACCTTCCAGATGTTTTGTACTGCAATTCTTTTAGCCTTAGCAGCAAGGGAATTGTGCTTCAGAACATGGGAAGTGCACGATCCCTGCCTTAAGTTCTGAGGTGTGTGTAAAATAAGAGGAACTTAGGCATTTTCTTTACAGGTTGCACTGATGGGTAGATTGGTTTATTGTGGAGAGGCTGCATCACAAATCTTTCCCCCCCTTTCCCCTTCTCCCATAGATTCCACAGGCACCCAAAGCAAGCTTTTTTAGAAATTAGTGTGCACATGCAGTATATATTATATAAATTACCTTCCTCTCCCTTACTGTTTCCAAAGATCTAGCTTCAAAATTGCACTATTGGGCATGGCGATATCCCAAATGCCTGGCACATCAGCCTCGGTCCTTGTTAACCTCTGTTCCATCTGCTTTTTCTAAACAGCTTTTGATAACATTTTGCAAGATATAACCTCTACATGTATATCTGTAACCTCTGCAACCACTATCATTGTTTGTGGATAGTAAAAAGCTTTTTTTGGGGGGGGGCGCGCTTTGGTGCAATTTTAAACTGAAGAGTAACATGGATTGGCACTGTATCAAACCAAAGTTGGAAACAATTTATATCCCATTTCTTTGGGATGGGGGGCGGGAGACAGGAAAAAACTACTTTTTTCATATAGGAAATCTTAAAACTTCAGTTAATGTTAGAAATCTTATTTGAGTCACTGCTATTTTGCTCTTAAACTTCCCTTTTCCCTCTTAGGAAGGACTTTTGCTTTTTGCTTTACATTCCAGTTCTGGGCAGTTAATGAATAAAGGAGCATATATGGTGAATATTGTGAACATAGATGTTGAACATGCATAAGAGAAAATTGCTGGTACGGGTAACAGTGGTGAAGAAGAGGTAGGAAGCTGAAGAAGGAAAATACCCAAGTCTACCTGTGACTAAAGTCCAATGTGAACAGGGAGGTGACTTAACGAATTAGTTGCTGCTGGGCCTTCCCAAAGTGTTGGGCTATTCTGATCCTTCCCACTCAGGAAAAAAAGGAGTTGGGAGGAGGACAATTGCACTCCAATAATGGGCAAAACAATTGGCTTGTTTCCTTCTTGGCATCACTTGGTTCAATCATTAAGTTCCCACTGCCACCCTGTTTTGATTCAAAATTTGGTATTTTCCATGACTCTGATTTGAATTTTGGTGAAGTGAAATCTTCTCCATAAAGTGATGCTGCTTTGCGACTGATAGGAGGCTGCTGCTGCTGCTGCTGCACTAAGCTGTGGAGGATTTCTTTTGTTCTGCCAGAAAAAATTAATACAGCAATGTATGCTTGTCTGAACAGTGGGAAAGTTAATCTTGACTGTGAGAAGCTGTCTTTCAACAGGCCTCATTAGCACAGAGTTCTGCTTTATAATTTTATAATAAAATGGAAATGTGTTACTAAATTATGCTCCTCTTCACTTTTTAACAAAGAATATATTTCAGGTTTCACATGAGGTACTTGATACTTTGATAATGAAAGCTGGAAACCTATCCTTGTGTGTGACTATGTCTTGGTGGTGTAACAGTTTGAACCAGAGCATGTTGTGCTACCAGTGTAAGTGAAACTCCAGTAGCATCCAACAAATTCACTTAACTGTTCCTTCCACTTTTTGCAATGGATAATTTAAAATCCCCCTTGACCATTTTTTCTGCAAGTTGCAGGTGGGTATTGTACCACCTCATTTACTCTTGTGGCTCTCAGATGAAAAGCAAAGCCTTGCTTTGAGTTCCATTATCTATGACATAATGCTCAAAACCGTCTGGAACGAAATGCTCCATTTTGTCCTAAATTTGGGGGGAAATTCCCCCCCACAGTATTTTGTTTTCAGTTCAGAAGATTTCACAACTCCTGCAAAATAGACCAGCTCTAATTATCAGTATATATGACTGGTTAATGTGAACTTCCATGAAAAATGCAGTTGGGCTGTTAAGTTAAAAAACTGTTTTGTAAGAATGCAAATGCAGACAAGTCTTTTCCCTGCCTTTCTCCCAGATGGAGTACCACAGCAGAACTAATAGAACATTGAAGCCACCTCTGTGGTCCATGAATTCCTACTAGCACCTTTAGAATCATAGGGTTGGAAGGGACCTTGGAGGTCTTCAGGTCCACTCCCATCCAGGGCAGAAATTTTCATACCATCTCAGACAAATGGCTGTCCACTCTGCTTGAGAACCTCCAGTGATGGACCACCCATGACGACAGGAGGCAATCTGTTCCACTGCTTAAGAGCTCTCAAGGTCAGAAAATTCTTCCTTATTTTGAGTTTAGATTTCCCTTTGCAAATCATCCATCCATTGGTTTTAGTCCTACCCTTGGGAGCTATGGAAAATAAATCCACTCCCTCTTTTCTGGGACAGCATTGGAAGACTGCTATCATGTCTCCCCTTAGTCTTCTTTTCTTTAGGCTGAACATACCCAATGCCTCTAAGACCTTCATCATCTGGTTGTTCTCTGCACCATTACAGTTTCTTAGCATCCTTGGATTGTGACAGAACTGGATGCAATATTTCAGGTGTGGTCTTACCAATGTAGCATAGAGTAAAGCACTCATGTCCTGTGATCTTGACACTGTACCTCTGATGATGCAGCCCAAGTTTGCATTAGCTCTTTCAGCAGCTGAACATACTGCTGCTGGCTCATGCTTAACTTACTGTCTACCAGGATGCCCAGACTCTTCTCACAAGTACTACTGCTGACCCAGGTACCAGCTATTTTGTACCTATGCATGTTTTTTCCTAAGTGTAGAACCCTATACAGGTAGTCCTTAACCATTTGTCCAGTGACCAAGTTACGACAGCGTTGAACGAATGATAGTTATGACTGGTTCTTGAAGTTACGGCTGTTACAGCATCCCTCCAGTCACATGTTCAAAATTTGGGCACTTGGCAACCCACCTGCATTTATGACTACAGCATGTGTGTCAACACCCCCCCGCACTCCTCCCTTATCTCTGCCCTTTTGGCTGCCCCACCGCTCTGCACCCATGCCACCCCCAGCTGACCTTTGCTGTCTTCTTCCTGCCACTGCGCCTTGGCCAGGTGTGCCTCAGCAGCAGGAGGAGTAAGACGATGGCAAAGGTCAGCTGGGGATAGCTGGGATGGCTGAGTGCCGGGCATGAAATATCACGAAGAGTCAGCAGCTGCCTTGGTTGGGTGTGCCACATCAGCAGCGGGAGGAAGATGATGGTCAGCTGAGGGTGGTGAGGGTAGGTGGTGGAATGCAGGGTGGCCAGAGGTTGGGGGGAGAGGAAGCCAAGGTGACTCTGGCAGGGCAGCAGAGGCTCATCTGCAGAATGGAGCTCACTGAGCCTGGCTAGGGAGAAGACAGCAGGATGGAGCCTGCAGTTTGCGCAGAGCAGGAGAAGTGTGAGCTCCTCACCGAATGATGGCGTGGTTCTTGCCTAATGACCGCAACCAGGACTGCCAGAACTGCTGTCGCTAAGTGGTGCGGTCACATGATGTTCTGCCTAGCTACTGCTTTGCTTAGCTAGGGAAATTCCAGTCCCAATTAGGGTCGTTAAGAGAGGACTACCTGTATATCTTCCCACTGAATTGCATTTTGTTGGATAGGGCCCAACGTTCAAGTCTATCCGTATCTTTATGAACCTTGAACCTGTCTTCTGAGGTGTTAGAAATCTCTAGCTTTGTGTCATCTCAAATTTGGTTAAGTGTCCTTTCTGTCATTTTATCTAAGTCATTTATGAAAATACTGAGCATTAGGTCCAGGACAGAACCCTGAGCTACCTCACTGGATGCTGTTCTCCATGTTGACATAGTACCGTTAAAGACCATGTGTTGGTATGGTTGTTCAGCCCCTGCAAATCCATCTGGTAATGAGACCATCCATTCAAAATTCTATCAAAAAGGAGCAGTGTTTCACTTCAAACAAAACATAGCAGATAAGTGCATGCTAGTGACTTTTCTAAAAAGCACTAGGCGCAAACAAGGATAAACTAAACTGTCAAGCAGTGAAGGGCTGAGAAATAGAAATGACTAGACACACATGGTTATGTAGTGCCAAATTGATCTTTAAAAAGTTGTATACACAATTTCTGCACAACGTTCTGTTATGAAGAACTGATTTGTTTTATGGCACACGTGAGTCATAATTAGGGAAGGGGGCTTCCAGATAAGGTTTTTTCCCCCTATATTTCATTAAAAAACCTGAACATTAAAAACAAGTGGAAATACTTTAAATTAATTTCTATTAAGTTAGTTTTTCATTCGGTACGTAATTCATTCCAGATGGTGCTTATTTAACGGGTGCAGTTAAGGAGTCTCCAAATGTAACCATGTTTTCCACTGGAACTATTTGCTTACAACAGATAATCTAGCAGGGAGTTACCAGCCTTCTCTTTCGAATGCATTCCCAAATCCACTCAGGGGACACATGCTTAGCAGTTGGGTTGTCTTCCATCCTCTCCATCACGTGGGTTGCTGAAGTAGCATCATACTCTTGAACCAGGTCTCCATTATAGGCTATGAAATAACGCTTGAGTTTCCCGAAACCCTCCACAGAAGGAGGAAGATAAAGCTTAACCCCAGTGAATATGTCCAGTAGCATCTGCTGTTTTGAGGCAGGAAACGAGAGGATGATGAACAGGCAGTGAGAATTATTTTGTTTTTTAAAGGTTTTTAAACAGATGGAAACAGGGCTGTTGCAATCTATGCTAACAACTTTCATTTAGAGAAATGTACTATAACATTCAGAGGCGCTCTTCACACAACATGCTTAAACAGGTCTGCTGAAGATTCCACAGCAGCTGCATTTGCTGAAAATGCTAAGCTTGATTAGAATTAACCTTAGTTTTTTTTTCTTGCTTAGCATGCTATGGGAACCCAGACTATTTGGTTAAATGTGCTGTGTGAGCCTAGAAAATAGGTTATTTTAGTGAGCATGTTTTGTGTGAATACCATCAGTGCTAGAATTTAATTCTACACCGACTCAGGAAACATACAATAAAAAAGAATGAGCGATGAAATAATCCAAGAATCTTGTTTTACTTCAAGAGAAGGAAGATCAAGGAAACAGTAAAACATTTGAGAAACTGATTTGCGATGCATTGGTGACCTGTGATGACCAGCAGGGAAAAAATGAACAGCCTCCCAGTCAGCTGGAGAATCACCCTTCGGCATAGATTCTAGCCCTCAAGGTTGAAAATGCACACACAGGTTGCTTGCTGAATTGCAAGGCGGTTGCACCCAGCATCGTTTCTTGCCTTCCTCCCACACCCAGATAAATTTTCTATAGCTTGATGGGGGGGGGGGGGCACTCATGCGGGAGTGCAAAGCTGCCAAAATTCAAATTAATCAGCCAATTGGTTTTTTTGCGTTTTTTTCTTTAAGTGAGAAAGCTGGCTTTTAAAATCTACGAACAGGAGCAGAACAGTCAGGTTTACTGCAGTCATTTAATGGCTAAGTCTGATGGTACTTTACTGGGTCTCAAATAGGGCCTGGTGTTCTCACTGCCTTCCTTTGCACAAGAGAGAACTGCTCTGCCAGCTCTCCAGTTCATCTTCTCTGCAAGGAAAACAACAGCTGTGCTGAAGAACTCACTAATCCAGCTTTGTGATGGGCATGCGGTGCTTGAAGCTTTTAACAACGAATCTGCTTGCTGAGACTATCTAGTTCAACATTTGTTTCTAACAAGGAGGAAGGAGACGTGGCCAATCAGATGCTTTTGGGAACCTTTCAGCTCTGTTCTCAGCATATCCTCAATAGGTGATTGGCAGCAGATCATCTTTTAATGGAGAAATGCAATTCAGTTATATTAGCCAATAAATGTGGATCAGACAATCCTGTCTGACTCTTCTCTAGAACAGTTCCAGTTTGGGCAACACAACCTGCTCAGGTATTTCCTCAAGAATCAGCACTGAAGTGGAAAAGAAATTTGGAAATACAGATTGACTGCTAGTATGAAATGCCTGGGAAATGGAACAGACGCAGGTAACATATACTTGGGGCATGAAGTTCAGCTCTCCATCCTTATAGAAAGCTTAGAATGTACAGAATAGATGACAAGGGGGTTCCGTTCACAGAATCTGCAAATTTGTTTACATGGAGACTCTTACCTTTCTTTTGTCCGCCTCCAGCTCGGGTGCCTTCCTTTTTTCTCCTCTCTTTCCCTCAGTTTTCTTCAGTGGAGACCTTTCTACTGGTTTGCTGACTAATGAAAAAAAAAACATTTCTAGATCAGCGATGAGGAGATGGCAAAAAACAATGAAAAAAAATTCCCATAAGGAAGACAATCTTGCCTGTGCAAATAAAGGCAGAGGACACCTTCAGACAGGCTCTGCAGCCATTCCCTCTGAGAAATATTGTATTGGAAAATAACAAATGTTTTAGTCTACAATTTTAAAGACTAAAAAAGTCCTGATTTTATAGCCGCCTTCATCTTAAGATTCAAAGTGGGCAACAGGTAGTTAACATTGTTTCTGCAATGACTGGAATGCAATATGTACCTTCTCACACTGACCACTAAAAAGCAACTTGGGGAAAAGCTCATCTTTATATTGTACTCCAGCTTGACTAGAAATTGGGGTAAAGAGCACTCTGAACACTGGTGGCAGAAATCAAAACAGAACCTGATCCAATTTCTGCTGGATTACAGTCCTACATGAGAAGGGAACTGTTGTTAAGCGTAGAGAACAGCCCAAAAGCATTTTAGAGCTTTCAAAACAGACAGTGGTAATTAGCCCCACATATATGTATCACTTGTATAGTGAGATGGGCGGCATACAAATTTGATTTATAAAATAAATAAGTATCTACCAAACAAGCCCTAAAACAATATCATTACTGATTTAATAGATTGCCTAAGTATTGGATACCTGACAATTTAAATGGCAGCCACGAAAAAAGTGCTTAAGTTGCAAAAAAGGCGTTGCAATGTTAGGTTTCTAGAGGAAATACAGTATATGGGGTGCACTGCAATTATTCCAAAAGCCACGGTCCTCTCTGAGATCTTTACAGAGCAAGCCCTTAGCAGAGAAATCCAACTGGGGGAAAGTAGAAATGGATCCTGGGAGAAACTTTAATACCTTTTCCCCACTGTTTACCTTCAGGCTTCTTGGCTTTTGCGGGGGACTTCCCGGAGTGTTGTTTTGCAGCCTTCTGAGGAGAAGATGACTTGGGCTGGCCCTCAGTCTCTCCACTGCTGCCTGCTGTAGAGTTCTCCTCCTCCGCAGCTACCACCAGGAAGTCCGATTTCTCTTTGGACAACTGGTACAGCTCCTGCCCACAAAGGCCAGAGAGTTCCATGAAGGGGAAAAAAAAAGACTTTCTAGCAAGCCCCTCCATAACCTCCCACTTCTATTTGCAAGGTATAACACAAAAAGTCAGGTTCTTCTGGAACAGACGGGAGAATAGGTAGTTGAATTATTCCCAATGAAACTTCTGGGTAACAAACAATCTCTGTTTGCTTAGAAACATCCATAATTACTAGAGGGGTTTGTGGCAAAGGATTCAAGAAAGGATTGTGGCAATCAGCTATACTGGCTAAGAGGTATGAACGCTGAATACCACGATCAAAATGCTTCTAATGTAGCAGCTAGTTCTCAAGAAGTTTGAGAAAGAAGATCAGTGGTTGGCCTTAATACCAAAGCAAAATGTGATGTATTTTCAGGAAATAGTGGGATACAAATGTATACATTCTTCCTAGTGGCGGCCCAGAAGAGATACTTGGGAGAAACGCCAGATTCCAGCTCAACGGGAATGGGGGAAATTTTGGATTATCAGAAGCCTCAATTTGCTGTCCTACTTTAATATCTTTTCTTTGGTGTGTACATACTAACATTTTATTTTTCATTACTAATACTGTTGAGTATTTTCTCTGGGATTCTGTAATATTAACAGGAAATAGAACTTAGACGCCTTCATTCAAGCCAACATCTTCCAGATAGATTTGTTTGAACTATCCCCAGTGAACTTTGGGCAAAAGCTGATCTACAAGACCAGATGATCAGAAGCAGCAACCCAGGATCCCATTTCCACAAGTTGTCACCCATATGCTTTTCAAAAAATTCACCAGTGCAATTTAGAGGGCAGGAGTCTTCCCCACAGTATTTCTGCAAGATGAGGAACCCAGAAACATACCGAGGGACCCATTCCTACATTTCGTGGCTAGCAACAATAAACAATTCCCCCTTTCCTGTTCCTTATCCCTAGCACTGCCACTGAAAAATGGAGGTATCTTATAGCTATCTTGAATAAGTAGGAGATTCAGGAGTCAAGGATTCTCTTAAAAAAAGGTAGCCTGAGATATAATGGGAGTAGGGAAAACATATGTAAGCAACAGAGAAAGATGAATTGTGTGTTGGTAAAGAGAGATTGACAAGAAGGCTGCTAAGCTGGAGGAGGAGAACTGGGATATATGCATCATGCAGAAATACTGAGTTATCTGAAATACCAGTAGAATCATACCTCTTAGATACGGATCTCAGTATATGCATGCTCAGAATATATATGCAACATGGCTATGTCCATGGAACAAATGTCTCACCCTGAGTTGTGGGAGGGTAGTGGACGTCGTCCAATCTTTGTCATCTCGGATACGAGTACACCGGGGGAAGCGGATGGAGATCCCATCAGCAGTGTGGGCCTCTGCTTTAGAGAATTCAGCACCTGTGATCTCCCAGACTGGTGCTTCCTAAGACAAATGGTAACAATTGGAAAAATCCTCCTCCTTGCCAATAAAGCAAGAGATGGAGTACTGCCTGCAGACACCACGGGTAATGTGGAGTCCCTGGTGCTCTCTGAGCTTGGTTGTTTCATTACCCAACTAGGTGACATCATTGATGTTACCTAGTTGGGTAATGAAACAACCAAGTTCAGAGAGCACCAAGGTCTCCACAGTTCAACCCTAAGCTACAGATATTCTCTTCTATTGGAACCATGAGTAACCTTGGTTCATTAATTCCATATATATTTTTGTGCTTTTTATTAATTTTAAGAGACAAACATGGAATTTAGCAGTTTCTGGATTGTGTGAGCTCAATTTGAATTATCGTATCAGATAATTTAGCCAATCAGACGAATCAATTCAAAGTCCTGAACTGATTCAAATTTCTGAATCCAATAACTGAATTAATCCAAATCATTATGTTGATTTGCTTTGAGGAAAAAAGTCTTTTTATGCCACTGAAATACTGGATCAGTTTGGAAGCATCCAATCTGGCTTTAATTAAATCATCAATTCAGAAGGGTTTTTTTGATTATGACATTCAAATGAATCACCTTTAGACTGATGTTTTGCAGTCCTAACAGCATAACAGAGGACATTTAGGGCAGTGAATCCAAAATAAAACATTCCTGACAGAAGGTTATCTGTCTCTTCTTGAATATCTCAAGGCAATATCCAGCAGATAATCAGGGCTTTAGTGCAATTTTTGCATAAAGTGTGACTCTGGCACAGAACATTGCATCATGAGACTTGCTGAACTTCATTCTATTTTTTTTCAAATTTCTAATTCTTATGGCTTCAAAATGGGTATGAATGTACATAACTACTATAAGATGCAGTTTCGTACGCCCATTGTTCCCGGCTTTCCATAATTAGATTGGTTTTTATCTGCTCTCAGGGAGGCAGTGAAGGACAGGAAGGCCTGGCGCAATATGGTTCATGGGGTCACGAA